CACAACATTATTACAGCACTCTTAAAGCCTTCGAATCCTAACTAACCTTCATAAAAGCTCCCAAACATCTGCTAGCTGGATATTTAGGTTTGCATCAGCTCATTTTCTATCATCTTAAAGCATCTTACCTGGAAGCGCCGTAGGTACTCCTGAGCCACACAGTCCCTAATGTGGTCGAGCCTCTGCCTCTGCTCTGCGCTCATACCTTTAAACAGTTGCAGGTTCTCTGATATCGTCTCTACCTGCAGGGTGTGGAAGTATGAACACACTTCCACATGCTGGCTCATGAACGACTCCGGGATTACAGAATTCTGGAAAAGTGCCTCCCTGTCGGCTAGATGTGATCCATAATTACGAATCAGTTTTGAGAGCAGAGGCCTCATAGCTTCCTTGTTGTCATAGTTCAGACACACAACATACACCTCAGAGTTTCCTGCTTTGCTGGTGGCGGGTTTGAAGACAGTGACAGACTGAAAACAGCAGTTCAGCAGGTAGAGCAAGCAGACGGACGAGTGTTCGTACAGGGTGAACATTTTTAGTACAAAGGAGCCGCCGGGGCTCAGGAGCAGCAGAGCAGCTGTGGCCTCGCAGTAATGTAGTGACGCCACCAGCGCCTCCTGCTCGTCGGGATTCTCCTGACAGTCAAAGCTTCCATCTGCCGTCACCAAATCAATCCTCCGCATGTTAGACACAAAGGTCTGCAGATCCAGCAAATATTGCTGGATCATGATGTTCCCTGTGTTGTCTGTGCCGAAGAACCACCAGGGCAGCGTGTTAGCAATTAATCGATCATCTGCGATGGTTGTGTTTCCCCCGTTGGCCTCGTGGTACGGGTTGAGGGTGTTAGCAACCCAGTTCCAGTCACAGTACCGTGTGGCCTCACTGGTTTTGAGGTAGTGGTTGAGAGCGGTTATGAAGGCCCCCGGTGCCTCACACAGATGGACCGTGTTCAGCTCTCCGTTTTGAAGAGCCTCGTTTGGAAGAAGTTTAAAGGTTCCCAGGATTTCGTAGAACTTACACCACGCCTGAGTGCAGATCTCTGCGTTGGCAGCAGACCGGACGGCACCGATCACCTTCCCGGCCCGATTGGTGGAGCTGGTGTGCTGATGCCACACCTGTACATTTTTGTCACTGAGCTGGTTCTTCACATCATTCAGCGAAACCTTCAGGGCCTGCAGACGGCAGTGCTGTTCCGGTGCGTGTCTGAGAGCAACGTTCGGGTCAGGAATGCACCACTCAGACCCACTGGATGGTTTCACATACGTTCTAACTTTGCTAAAAAGACCTTGCATCTCAGCCAGAGTTTCAGGGTCAGGTGCCACCATGTTGGTAAAATGTTGCTGCTGCTGCTGCTTGCCAACTTTCCTCCTGGTCCCATTGCCTGTGCTCATCCTCCACACTTCCTGTGGGGGGAAAAGAAGGGTAGCTGACTGATTAAAAAGCCAACCTGGTTCATCTGTTTTGACAGAAAGTTCAATATAACCAGGCCTTCTTTGCACTATCTTGCTTCCTAAAAGCTGAAAACCCAGTCAGAGATTGGGTTTAAAGACTACTGCTGCAAATTAGACTAGAAAGTAATGTAGAGTTTACCTAAGCAGAGTGTTACGAACAAGGGGATGCAAAGTCTGCAAACATGCTGTGCATAGCTGTGCCCAGGCTGAATGCTGATTGGTTGAAAAGTGGGCTAGAACAGGCCAAACTGAAGCTAATTTGTAGACATCGTGCTGTGGGCGTCAACTTTAGCACTGTTCACACAAATTAATTTTCTGCTCAATCTGTGATGTAATCTGTGATGTAGTGAGCCATGTGAAACACTATAATGGGATACTCAAATAAATTCACCAACCCATGTAAGTATTGAGCATTTTATTTAATGACTTTAAAATAATTTACAGTCAGAATTAAATTACCAAAGCTAACGTTTTACTCACGAGCGCACACGATTTAGATCACAGCGCCAGGCAGGAGGAGGTACTTCTGGGTCAGTCTTAATGAGTCTGGAGTGACTCAGTGATGAACAATGTTTGCTAATCACAGTATATTAATCTGTTATTTGTCATGAATCACGCTGATAAACTGCTGTGCATGAAAGTCAGCTGTTCCGCTCAGTATTTGCAAACACTTCAGTTACGGTTAACGTAAACTAGATGGAAAACCAGCCTGTTATTTTTAGCCCTCCGTCACTGATGACATGATGTGTGGATTTGTTTCTTTCTCTGTTATCAGAGTACTCAAAAATTATGGATGAATTTGTATGATTTGTTTGTTTTGTCTGTTTTTGTTTTTTCCCAATTTAAGATTACATTTTGCACTTGATTCTGGTTCTGGATCGGAAATTTTGGAAAGGTTCTTTATTATGTGTGAGCGAATCTCAGCATTGGCTGAAGTATGCAGTCCCCGGCTGCTCTTGGTTTTCCATACAAGAAACCGGGGAGGAGATTAAACGGCCACGACAAGCATTTAGAAAATGAAAAATAAAACTGTAAGTGCTGTGACTCTAAACTTAAAAATCATAGCTGAATGCAAATAAACTAATTAACACTCTTTTCACTGTACTGAACTCTTTTAAAGCATCTTTGGGATGTGCAGCAACTATTTGATGCTATCATGTCAATATGGACCAAATCTCTGTTTCAGGCTCATGCCATCCTTATCTTTAAAAAATATGAAATGAAATGAGAAATTCTGACAACACTGGGATTATTGAGTGTGTAAATAAACCTGCGGGCACGCGTTAAGGAAAACAATCGTTACACAGCTGTGTGTTTAGGGCTTTATGAGTACTGAGCAGACCTCTGCGTGATAAACTGGATAATAAATGGGACACAGTCCGGGTTGTGTCTCTTCGGAAACCTTGAATCTTCTCTCACAGCGTGTTCAGAGCTTTAAGTCTTTGAGGAAGAAGGAAAGATGTTTCTATAACGCTACTGTATAACAGAGACAACAGACAACTCTAAGCAGAAACTCACCCAACTGCTGATGTTGTTGTCCGGAAGCGGAACCAGCGGTTCACGTGATTTACAAGATCCTGCGCATGCGTGAAGCCGAGTGGGTGGGGTTCTTTCTTAAAGGAGTATGCCGCATAAATTTGGTGGTGAGATTGTTTTTAAACTTCACCAACATTATCATTCAAAAAGAGTTTATTATATATGCTGCTCAAAAAAATAAAGGAGCACATAAAAAAAAAAAAAAATCAGAGTATAGCATCAAGTTAAACCTGTGGGTTGTTGATCTGCTCAGTTTTAGATGTTGGAGGCCACTGACATTTTTTCCTTCTCATCCTTTCTGGCTGTTTTTTTCGCTAGTAGTTTTTTATTTTTATTTTTTATTTTTATTTTTTTAGCGAGGGTCAATGTCTCTATTGGTAGCATGAGCTGGACCCTACACAGGTTGCACAGATAGTCCAACTCCTCCAGGATGGCACATCAATATGTGTTTCCACATAGTTCTGTAAGAGGATGACTGGTGAAATCAGAGTCTCTGACCCAACAATGAACTTTTTGGATTTGGATTTGCATGCATCTTTTCAGCCAAATTACTCACAGAGACCCGATCTGTGTCATCATGTTACATAATTATTAGAGCTCGTTCAAGTGTAAGCTGATAAAACCTGAATTTTAAAATATTGTGTTTTAATGCCATGCAAGGACTTTTTATTCTGTTTGTATCTCTGATTGCTTTTCCTTCTTTACAGTCTCCTTACATATGTTTCATATACGGCGTATGCAAAGTAAATCCAGGCTTTAGTAAAAAATATGTGACTAACTAAAAACAGGACACTCACAGAGGAAGTCTCATTCATAAATAATGGCCCTTTGGGAAATCCAAGTGCAATTAGCATTCCAAAAATAGTGGGCACCAGTGTTTTGTCATCCAATTTAGTGCAATAACAGTGACACCTTCTCTAATATTAATTAATATTAATGTTTGCATTGTAGTTACCTTTTCCCACCAGTTCAAGTACACTGCAGTCTGTCAAACCTTTTCAAATGAAGGAAATCAGAGAGGGAGTTTGGGGAAGAGGAGGTGAATGAAGGGCTTATTTTAAGATGCAGTTATGTATTGTGATAATTAATAGTACAAGTTCACAAATGGTGTAAAGATTACTTTTAAAACTGTGAAGAGAACTAAGCTTATTTTTACTGTTTATTCATTGTTTTGTCTTATTAGGCTGTGAAACAGAGACATATCAGGATGTCCTCTTTAAATATGACTAAAGCTATTTATTTTATAACCTTGGTTCTTCAATCCAGAAGATTATAGTTTTGCACTAACCATACTAGTCAAGTAGTTTTGTAACATGCACATGTAAAATAATTTATTTAGTACTGTACATCTCTGGAACTGCAGTAGATCAGTAAGCACTGAAGATTAGTCTTAGATTAGTCCTCTGAATGATTTGTCCTGTGAATTCCTAAGTGCACATTTACTGTTTCCATAGGAATTAAGAGGTAGAAGCCCAGGGCTGCTAATCAAATGTACTTGATTAATTGTTCATTAGCAAGCATGAGCACCTCATATAAAAGCTTTTTATCTGGCCCAGAGCAGCTAACATCAGTGTTACAGTCTTCCCTAGAGTGGACATCCCAGCAAATTCACCTCAAAGTCAAAACAGTGCACAAAAACCCAAGAGCTACATCTCAGACTCCACCAAAACAAAACCTTTGCTCATCCACTGACTTTGTCTTTTTAAGTGGTCCCATGGACCCATGGTTGCTTCTGTCAAGCTAAAATGTGATGTGCAGCATTCAGAGCTCACCTCAAACTTACATGATGTAAACAAAAATGAAATAAACCGGCACTGTGCACAAGTTTTGACAAATGTTGCTGGTCACTTGTCCCTAGCAGAGGTGTGGCTGACAGCAGTGCACTGCTCGATCAACATCTGCCTGCACAGGAATCTTACAATGATGAGCTGCAAGAAGCTCCCAGAAACCACAGGACATCAGCAGAGATCTGAGCTGTTTTTGTTGTAGACAGAACCACACAATGCTAATCAGGTGGTTTTAATGCAGGAACTGATCAGTGTAGTGTATAATGTATACAGTCTCTAACATGATAACCTATGAATTAAAGTAGATACTCTCTAAATATGTAAATGCTTTATTGGACAGGAATAAAATGACTGTGCTTTTTGCACACAAATAGGATGCAGTGCTATTGTGATCTGATGCACACACAAGGTGACACTGGCCTCTCCTTCACCTAAGCTCATTGCTACTGCAGCGATTATACCACAGAGTTCGGCCTGGAGGTTAAATATCTGCTGTCATCACTTCAGTAAAGACCGAGCAGCAAAATGATGAAAACACGTTATCTCCATTGTGATGATCTCAGCCTGCTAGCAATAAACACCATGCATAAAAAGGTCATACAAGTACTGCCTTCAGCTATGTTATACATGCAGCACGCTGTCAGCTGCAGACAGTCAAAACAGTAAAAGCAATACAGACAGAAAACTGACATCTGCAAACTGAGCAGAGACAAAATCTTCTTTTTTTTAAAAAAAAATTCTGAACACAAAAGAAATGCAGATTTCAATCAGTGTGACAATGAAGGACCACACACACACACACACACACACACACACACACACAC